ATTTGTGGCCATATCAAATACTACTCTTAAAGGTTTTGTTACCTGCGTTAGCCATGATGCTCCATGTCTTCTGCAAGCACAAAATTACCATTACCTTGAGAAAATATTTTGCCCATTAACTAATACAATTTTTTTTTACTTATAGTTGCTTCCTATGCCCCTTAAGTCTTTCAACAGCCGTCCCTCACTGTTGATTAGCTAAATCTAACCACATGTTTTCACTGAATATACAAGTTCTTTATCAGTACAGGTTATTTACACAATTGCACTTAGCCACCATGTTTTCTATAAGCCAAGCAACTTTGCAAAATATGGATTCTAAAAGTATATAAAAAATTAAGAAAGGAGGATGCATTTTCTTATATGAGTTCCAAAACTGCATAAAACATATTAGATGTTACCATCTGATGCTAACTTATTACAATTCATGGGTCTCACTTCACTGCTCATAGTAAGAAGGCAACTTGATTGTTTTCATGTGTTGTCTCGTATTTAGAGTTTCTTTACGTTGTCTACTGGAGGAATTGTCTGCATGCTCCTTTCCCACTAGATTTACTGTTTTTGTTTGTTAACCCACTAAGATTCATTTATTCTTCATTTTTTGGGCTTTGTCCTTTGCAAGGCAAAGAATATCCATAGATCAAACTTTGATGGTTGCGCCTACAATAGAACTATATATGATCTCTAGCTCCACTCCATGGACAATGGGCACTTGTTTTCTTTTCCCCTTTTTGTTGTTAAGATGCTAATACTTGGGCCAGAGGAAAGATAAAAATACTAATGATACTTTGCAAGTGCTGATATTGAAGATATCTTACATTCATGGACATGATTTATATTATGCTGCTGAATTCCTGATAAATAATTACAAAAGGCTTTATGCTACAAGTTCTGTCGCCAGAGTTGATGTTTTTGTTGATTGGCTACTCTTAAATTAAAAAAAAATAGCAGTTGGGTCTGAATCCAAGTTCACACTAAACAGTCTTTTGAGTGGCCTAATAGAAGTGATACTAGAATCGGATTGTAATCCTTTGCCCGAAACACTTATCAATATCAAAGGCATGGATGCCTCGAGGATATTGAAATCAACTACCAATAGAAGGTTAATTAACAGAAAAAATCAAGGGTGGTGCACTCAAGGAGGGTGCGGCGCAGCTTCTAGTCGTTATAAGAAAATAAGCTAAAAATATACATTACTTTGAGCACTAATAATCCTAAAGTTATTTATAATATACATACAGTACGCTATCGCCTATCATAACTATAAATAGGTGCGTAGTGCATATTCATGGCTACTAATGGTATAAAATGGTAACCGTAAATGGTGCCAACAATATTGCAACACCTACAGGCTCCCTCTTTCTCGTACGCCTTCTACACCTCAATCATGTTTATACAACGCGGTGAACTCTATGGATAATATGAAGCATGACCATGTTTATACGAGTAAATTGCCATACACATTGAAGTGAAATTGAAACTCATACTATATTTTTCTAAGATGCCGATCCATAAAGACACAAACCATTGATTACCGATTTTTCTAGCATTATCATAAGTCATCATTAAAGAAATATATGGATACAAGAATAAAGAATATGGTATCTGTTTCGCAAAAGGAAAAAAAAAGGATCCGTGATTATACTTTCCTGGTAAAAGTGGAGCTCTCTTATATAAATAGCTCGTGTCAGGGCTCCCCTGTTGCACCGTCATCAAACGGCTCCGCTCTCGTCCAGTCGTCCCTATCTCGTCCAGATTCCAGTCGTCCACTAGGGCGACAGGGGCAGCTTCTCGCGCATTGTTGGCGTTCTTTCTTGGTCGTCCTCGCCGTGTCCGCTAGCGGTAAGCAGCCAACCATGTCATCCGATTCGTCATTCGCCAAAAAAAAGACGATTATTATGTTATAATCAGTTTCTTTGTGTTGGTGCAATGGTGCTAATGCTGCTGCCTGTGCTTTGGTGTCCGGATTCAGATGATTTTGCGGCGTCGGCGGACGAGCAACATGACATCTTGAACATAAAAAACAACTGCAGCTTCAGCGTGGCGCCGGTGATCGCCCCTAAACCGGGCTCGGCGCCGCTAGACTTCACCCCCTACCAGTTCATGGGGTACGATTACCTCGAGAACATCGCGTTGCCACACAGGTGGTCCGGTCTCATCTGGGCCCGCACCGACTGCTCCACCGACGGCAGCGGCAAGTTCACGTGCGCCACGGGCGACTGCGGCTCCGGCCGTCTGGGGTGCGACAGGGGCGCCAGGCCCGCGCCGGCGGCCACGGTCGCCGTGCTTGCTCTCGGCGGCAAAGGTGGCACGGACACCTACCACATCAGCGTCGCCGACGGGTACAACCTGCCCGTGGTCGTGACGCCCTACGACACGAGCCATGGCGGCCAGTGCGCTCCGACTCAGTGCGTGGTGGACCTCGACAGCTCGTGCCCGGCCGACCAGCAAGTGAAGGCGTCCGACGGCCGTGTGTTGTGGCGTGCAAGCCGTCGGTGAACTCCGGGCCCTCGAATATCGCGTGCACGACGGCCAACACAAACGGCCCGGCCTCCAGCAGCTCCAGCTGCGCCGTCGTCGACAACAGCTACACGGTCACCTTCTGTCCTGACAACAGCGAGTTTGAGCCTAATAATCCTAGTAGTACTAGTAACTAGTTGAGTTCTAGTATCTGTTACCTCGGTAGTACGTATGTAGGTGCATGTCAGATCGCTGATCTTTGTGCAAAATAAAGTTAGGAAAAAAAAATCACTTGAACTTGAGCAAGCTTTGCAACGGCACGATAATCTTTCCATGTAAAATGGCCGTGTGCTCTAGCGTGCTATACTACCGCGCCAATGCCTGTGGTGCGACAAAATATTTTTACCACATGTGGTTTGCTTAGACCAAAAGGATTAGATACATTTTTTTCATTCGATTTATTTTTCAAAACATTAATTAAAAAATTGAAGGAAAAAAAAGCTGGGATCATGTTCCCAAAGTTCTCTTTGCAGTAGGAACCGAGATTAGCAAACGCTGAAAATAGCCAGGCATACGTTTTGAGGCAATTTGGCGTCGTCCTCAAATAAAACGGATGAAAGCCTTGATCTCTCCGAACTCCAAAAGCAACTGTGCTGTATGTGTTGTCGTCGTTAATGGATTCTATTTGGGCCCCTGCCTTGCTGTCCGGTACGAACGAGAGGCTGCGCGAGGCCACGGGCTCGGCCCTATCTGAGCTTCTAGACGGACTGGCCCATCCAGTTCTCTCAGTTCAACGGCCCCCCTCCCGACCGCTTCCCTGCCTTCCACTTCACTCGCAGGCAGTCGCATCGCGGCGAGAGGCTTTTGCCTCTTGCCTCTCCACCCTCCACAGTCGCAGTCCTCTCATTATCTCAGAGATCCCCCAACCTGCGACATTTCCAGCAATTTGGTCGTTTCCCACGCAAGCTGCGCGCAAGCCCATCCCACCCCGTTCCCGCGGTAGCCCACTGCTTCCCGGGAAATCCACCTCGCCCCGATCCAACCCGTCCCCGCCACCAACGCAGCCGCCGCGACGGGGTCCGACGCCCGGCCGATCTCCCGCCTCCGCCAGCGCTTCGGTGAGTGACCGCCCCTCCCGATCGGTTCCTTTGATCGGGCCGCGTCTTCCTTACCCTTCCCTCACTCTCTCCATTCCTCCGGGAATCCGTTGGTGCTGTGTTCGGGCTCTCGGTTGGTGTATTGGCGACGTGGATCGCCGCCTACGAGCTTGCGCCAGGCGGTCAGAGTTGCTGGCTCTGATCTCGGGCACGGAATGTTTTGACCGGAAATGAATGCAGCGCAATCAGTTGCTAGGCCTCGCTGGTATCTGAAGTCTGAACATGATATGGTTTTAGATGTCAGGTTTTCATATACACTTATATGAACACTTACATGACGAGTTCCATTGTAGAATTGGTGATCTAGATGAATTGTTGCCTGCAACCTTGTTGAATCTTCTAAAGCAACTACTGTGTAGTTTTCTATACAGACGCCTTTAAAGTGTTGTTGATGAGACAGAATGCATATTCTAGATTCTGTGTTTTTTTTTCTTTGTTTTGTGTAGTACCTTTACAGACACCTTTAAAGTGTTGTTGATGAGACAGAATGCATATTCTAGATTCGGTGTTTTTTTTTATATATAGTTGGACATAGGTAATTTTTACTGTATTAACCAAGCAAGAATCAGATTATGTTCAGGTGTGTGCATTTCCCTCTGTTCATTCCCTAAAAAGGAACAAGCGAGCTTATTCGCAATCCAGACATATCTGGATTTCAGAGAAGGCAACTGATGCAACACAGCCATGCTCAACATGGTGCAGTAGTATGTTGCGCCATTTGTTGGGTTGACTGCCCCCGATCTGTATAGCATCAGAATTGACGTTTTCATATGGTTTGAAGTTTATATATGAGGTGGATGATTCTTCTATTTTAAGAAGTTGTTTGCTTTATGGAGGATTGGTAATTCTATTGGTAGTATTTGAATGGCCTTTATCGAATTTATAGTCTAGTTGTGTTCTGATGATTGTATTGTGCAATTATTGGTCGCGTTTGGTTCCTCATCTAAACCTCACCTAACCTTGCTGAGCAAGGATTCGATGCTTCTGCTGCTGCGTTTGGATATTTGGCTAGCTTGTTCGGTAACTTGTGCTGGCAAGGATTGCCAGCATTTCCCCTTGCTACCCGCAGAGAGCTAAAATGGCTGTCCTGGCCAATAAGGTGAAGCAATCTTGCCTGGGAAACAAATCTTCCCTAAGCTAGGCAGCTAGCTAGCTAGCAGTATATTTATATGGAAGGGATTAAAATTATTATTGCTGCTGCACAAGGCCATGAGTGCTATAATTTTCAATGCCATACTTTATGTTAGAATTTTAGTTTCTTTTTACTGCACATGTTTGCACATTTAGATTTGATGATGCCATAACTGGAAATTTACTGTATTTCAGGTTTCTACCTGGAAAGGCATGATCCTGGACCTTGAGAAAGGGAGTAAGTGATCAAGGATGGCCTCAAGGGCTATCCTCAGGAGGAGGAAGGACATTCTACGGCACACTAATGTGCCTATTTTGTCCCCTTCATTCACTAGCACAATTGGGCAAGGACAATTTGGTTGTGAGGTTGATCATCAAAGATCTGTATGTTTCTTTTCGAAGGAAAGTTTAGCAGATTCTAATCATGCTATGGCACATTATACTTTAAATAAGCGAAAGCTTTGTCGGCTCAGTAGCGGTTTCACATGGCGTCCAACTTGTGAGGTTTCTCTTCCCACTTATGGTTCTAGAGCACAGAACTTTGTATTCCCATTGGGAGCCAGGTGTTTCCTGCAGTCGGTCCGCACCGCATCAAACACAACTGGACAGGGTTGAGTTAATATTATGGACAAGCAGAGTGAGGATGAGAAGCAGAAGCAACAAAAAAAGGAGGCATCCCCCGAAGAATGTGATCAGGCAGTGGAAGGATTAAGCACTGCAAAAGCAAAAGCTAAGCTGGAGGAAGTGCAAAAGGCTGACCAATCAGTGGTACAGAAATTCTGGGCAAAGCTTCTGGGTATTGGCCCTGCTTTACGACTTATTGCTTCAATGAGCAGGTCTCTGTTTCCCTCTTGAAATTGAAGCACTGCTATACCATTCTTTTTGGATCGATAGTTTTTGTCTAGATATTCAGTGTTTGATATGTATTTACTTTTGTGGGTTTAAGAGCTGATTGGGCTGCAAAGCTGAAGCATTGGAAGGATGAATTTATTTCTACACTGCAGCATTATTGGTTGGGCACTAAGCTACTCTGGGCAGATGTTAGAATCTCATCAAGGCTGTTAGTGAAACTTGCTAGTGGAAAGAGCCTCACAAGACGAGAGAGGCAGCAGCTCACACGCACAACAGCAGATCTATTCAGGCTAGTACCTTTTGCAGTTTTTATTATCGTTCCATTCATGGAACTCTTGTTGCCAGTGTTCCTCAAGTTGTTCCCAAACATGTTGCCATCCACTTTCCAGGACAAGATGAAAGAAGAGGTTTGACCTAGAACAATGAAGCTGTCTTGCCAACAGAATTACTAAATGCTAACATGGCTCATACTGCATTCATTTTGCTCTACGCAGGAGGCCCTAAAAAGGAAACTGAAAGCAAGGATGGAATATGCAAAGTTTTTACAAGACACTTCTAAAGAAATGGCAAAGGAAGTTCAAACATCACGTAGTGGAGAAATGAAACAGACTGCTGAAGATCTGGATGAGTTCTTGAATAAGGTATCATCTTCTTGCATGCTTAGTATGTAGCTTCAAGTTTGGAACAAATACCACTAAACATTTTACATTTTTGCCTATTGGTGATATACTCAAATTTTCAACTAGGTTAGGAAAGGTGGGCATGCCTCCAATGACGAAATATTGAGCTTTGCAAAGCTATTTAATGACGAGCTGACTTTGGATAACATGAGCAGGTTTGCGCTTCATGTACTTAATCCCTTGATCATTCCACTTGCCTGACCAACCTTGTTCTGCAGACCTCGACTTGTTAATATGTGTAAATACATGGGGATCCAACCTTTTGGCACAGACCACTACTTGCGATTCATGCTTCGAAAGAAACTACAAGAGTATGTCTTCCAATTACCTCGTCATGTACATATCAGGAAGGGAAAAGATGTGATGATGATATGAATGTACACAAATCTTTGCTTCATCTTGAGAGTAAATTTGATTGGGGGTGGGGGGGAGAGGGCAGGCTCGCCTCCATGAGGCTCCACCAGTGTCTATAGCATTAAGCATGTTTTTTCTACTGTGGTACACCGGTACTGTACTTAGTTACTACTGAAGTGAGCCTCTTGCATTAAGATCAACTGGAGAATTTAATTCTCGCACAAACCCCAAAACTCTTTCAACATCTTATTATTCAATTTAAGTATGCAAACTTATGTTTACCAGTTTATATCTATTTTCTCTTACTAGGATTAGTAGTTGCCTTCAGGAAAGGAAATATTAACTGCTTATCAAGTGTCAACCTGCTTTTCCTCTTCAATTCCTATGGCTAGCAGTAGCTACTAAAGCAGCATAGGCAGAGAGGGGGGCCCACATTTCTGTACATTTTATTATTCGATTTAAGTGTAGTGCAAACCTATGTTTACCAGTTTATATCTATCCTGCAGCATTAAGAATGATGATAAGATGATTCAAGCTGAGGGTGTGGAGTCTCTTTCTGAATATGAGCTTCGACAAGCATGTCATGAGCGTGGGCACCTTGGTTTGTTGTCAACAGAGGAGATGCGCCAACAGGTTTGTTCAGTGCTACTTCTACTTCTACAAACCACCAAGTCAGACATTTGACACCCATGTCAGATTCTAATTGCTATTTGCCGTGCCCAAAAGTAACCTGCCAAGTTGGGCACCCTGTCCAAGTTGAATTCCAATGCCCATGCTTGCTTGTGTCCAAATAACTCTAGGTTTGCTTGTTTTGGATTTTTTTGAGACAAGGGTCTTAAATAAATAAAACATGTCTGGTGATTACTTTTGGTGGCTTGGTGGTTCAACAGATGTTCATGCATTCATACTTTAGTAGTTTATTTTGTTAATCACCTTGAATACCTGGAATTAAAGTCTCTGTGATGTTTCACATGTATTTTACATAAAGTTCCTGTCCCATTCAGTGTTGATACACAAATTGTGGCCATGTCTTGTAAGTTCTGTTTCTACAACTAACTGATACTATCATGGGAATGGTAAAAGGTATATCGTGCTCTGTAGAACTTATTTGGCAAGCTTTGTTTGCTAAAACTCTGTTATAGTGCGTTGAAAACTTTAGTCTAGAAAATGACATAAATCCTTGGGATAAGGTAGAAGGTTTCTTTAGGCTATGTAAGTCTATGGGTATTACTTTGCATGAATTGGATCTGCTTCAGTTAACTATTCTAAACACTTCATTTTATTCAGCTCAGAGACTGGCTGGATCTATCACTCAATCATTCTGTGCCATATTCTCTTCTAATACTCTCAAGGTATTTTTGGTAATAAATGTCTGCCTGGCATATTACTTCCATTAGGATTCTCACTTGTGTTCAAAAAATCCTCAGAGCTTTTACTGTGTCTGGTAAAATGAAACCTGAAGAGGCCGTTGTAGCAACCTTATCTTCCCTGCCAGATGAAGTTGTCGATACAGTTGGAACTGTACTGCCTTCTGAAGATTCTGTTTCAGAGAGGAAGAGAAAATTGGAATTTCTGGAGATGCAGGAAGAACTTATCAAGGTAATATAAGCATGAGTCACTCAAATCAATATTGTTTTGAGACATAATATTGATGTAGGGGAGGGTCTTAAATAAATAAAACATGTCTGGTGATTACTTTTGGTGGCTTGGTGGTTCAACAGATGTTCATGCATTCATACTTTTGTAGTAGCCCCCTGGCTCCTCTTGTCCCCCACTCCCTCTTTGTACAGTGGTGTTGTTCTTTTTATTGTTTTTTAATATAATAAAATCCTTACAGTGGGGGTCTCCCCTGCTGTATTTAAAGTTCAAAAAAAAGCATGAGTCACTCAAATCAATATTTATATGAGGAAGCTCCATGTCTCAACTCTTAAGCAGGGCCAAGTTTTGTAAATGATGCAATTCATTATTCTTTATGGAAAATATTTTAGGGGAAACATGAAAACTATTCTTTAGTAGGCATGAGTTAAAATAGACCTGTTGTTGTTCTCGCTTTCTTGGCTGTATCACCCTGCTCCATGAATATTGACCCTGTTTGATTGAAAGATTTTAAGACCTTTTGAGTAAAATATATGCCTTGAATTGAAGTTTAGCACGGATTACTGTATCTTGCCACCATCGCCACTGATCTAGCTGTTGCTTAAATTTCTTAGTCATATTGTTTAGTAATGATACAAGTTTTTGTTCACCATGTAATCACTTGCACAACTTGAAGTTGTATATTTCCTTTTTGTGTGTGTGTGTGTGTGCGCTTTATGTCCTTCAGTTGCCTAGTTTAATATGTACGTTACCTATCCTTATTTATATATTCTTTCGCTGACGAATCAGCAGAGTCATACAACTTGTCTGGGAGGTACCTCTCTCCCATTTATTCTATTCCTCTTCTTAATGAAATGACACGCAGATCTCCTGTGGCGAGGAAAAAAAAGAATCAGCAGTCTACAACTTTTCTGAGTCCCACTATAATTTTGTCAACGATAAATAGTTATTGATACTTTTGCACACCAAATAATAATCAGGAAGAGGAGAAAAGGCAAGAGAAAGAAGACAAGGCAAAACTGGAGGAGCCTAAGGCCACTGAAGAAGATTTGGCTTTGAAGGAAATGACTGAGCCTACTGTTAGGGAGGAAGAAGAACTAAAGAAAGCGAAAACGCATGATAAGAAAGAGCAGCTTTGTAATATCAGTCAAGCATTGGCTGTGCTTGCATCTGCTTCTGTACGATCAAAGTCACTTTCTTTTGTTACCACTGTTCCAATCCTGCATTCCTAGAGAAAAAAATTACATTAACATTGAACCCTACCTTCTCCTATCTTGCAGTATGTTACCAAGGAGCGACAAGAGTTTTTAAGCCTTGTCAACAAGGAGGTAAGCTTCGAAGTCATACTGAATATGCGCGGTCTGTTTGCATAAGTTAATGTTGGATCCCCACTCTTGTGGATACAGATAGAACTATATAACAATATGCTCGCAAAGGAGGGTACAGATGGTGAAGAAGAAGCCAGGAGAGCATACAAGGCTGCTAGGGAGGAATCAGACCATGCTGCAGAGGCAGCTGTGGGAGTAAAGGTCTCTTCAGCTTTGATTGATAGGGTAAGGAATTGTTTTCTTCATCTAAAGCTTTATAAATTGTCCTTAGAACTTATACTTGGAAACATCCTTTATCTTAAGAAGAAACATGTATTAATACCTGTAATAGGTGATCCATATATCAGAAAATCTTGAAAGTATAGGAACTTTTGCCTTGCAGGGAGAATTCCATTACATTGGTAGAAATTTGTCATCAGGTAGCTATGAGCTCCACTTATTAGAATTATAGAACATGAATTGTAACAAACTTTTCAGATGGGTAGAACAATGGAGGTTTGTCACCAGATACTTGTAATCAATCAGGTCCATTGTTCAGCACCTTAAGATGTATGTTTCGACTTATCAATTTAAAACATTACTGACATAATTAAAGCAAGTTAATAAACACTAATGAACATCTTTCTAGCAGCAAGTAGTTGTTAATAACTTCCTAGACAAGTAGAAAACAAGAGAATATTGTATGCTTCTATAGAAGGTATGGGCTATGTACTAGTCACTTCTGACTATTTAGTCAACTTCATTTGTTTCAAAGTATATGATGAAAATATGCACACACTGTTCTGATTATGCTTTGAGTATTTTATATTGATTACGTAGTGAGGCTATTTGTTGGTAATTTTCTTTTTCTGCATTTCAGGTTGATGCTATGCTTCAAAAGTTAGAAAAGGAGATTGATGATGTTGATGCTCGAATTGGCAATCGTTGGCAGCTGCTGGATAGGTAAGCTTTTGTGCATGCTTTTATTTCGAAACATTTAGATATGCTTTGTTGCTAGTGAAGTTTCTTGGTTATATTTCTTTAACAGTTTTCTAATAAAAAAAGATAGTTGCACCAAAAGGTGCTTAAAATTCAAATGAGAGGAAATATAAACCATATGGCAGGACTGGGGGAGATGATGAGAAACTAACATTTGGCCATGTTGATGCACGCACCTAGGTTAGAATTTGATTTAGATGGTTTGTCTTAAAACCCCATTAGAGTCAACATTGCAGTCATATATCCATGTTATAACTAGTGCAACACGCTTAAATTTCATGGTCACGCTTGTGCATTGTTCCTTTCATAATGTTTTGCCACCCTTGGCCATCAATATGTTCTTTTTTAAGGGACCGTGATGGCAAGGTGACTCCTGAAGAGGTGGCTGCAGCTGCAAATTATCTCAAAGACACCATAGGAGCAGAAGGCGTCCAGGAGCTTATCAGCAATCTTTCTAAAGACAATGGTGCTTACATTCAACATCCCTGTCTATCATATTGATGAAAAGCATAAATTGTTTATTCTATTCGCTGCTATATCTCTAAGCCTTTTTTTATATGCCTAACAGAAGGGAATATCCTTGTGGAAGACATTGTGAAGCTGGCGTCACAAACAGAGGAAAACAATGAACTTGAAGAAACGGCACGATGATTTGGAATAGCAGCCACATTCTTGGCTCTTAAAACTCGGCGGTCCATTCTTTTTCAAGGGAACCTCACATAACAAAGCTAGTTCCTGGCAGTTTCATGCAAAAATCACTAAGCAGGATGGTCATTCTTTTTGTTCTGACTGGCGGCTGCGGAGTGTATCCTGTAGCATAGCCTGCTGTTGAAAGATATTCATTTATACAGTTAGTCCCAGTGCCACCGATCGTTAGGTTAGGAATTATGTCTGAAATGGCAACTTAAATTTCAACCGGTTGCCATGAAAATGAGAATAAGTTAGGCGGGCTGTACAAATCTTTCATCTATAGTCTGAATAAAAGTATAGGCATCAAATAAGTATCTGGATAAATTTCATGCTATTTGAATAAGAATGAGTTCGATTTGTTGTCTCTCCAAATCTGCTTTTTAGTGGTAATGGTTAACTACACGAATACGGTGAAGGTGATCTTGGGACGAAAGCACTGATCTTAGTAAATGTCTATGCTTGAGAAAAATATCTGTACTGTTCTGATACCTTTTACCGGCGTTTTCTGCCTTCAGGCTTCAGCTTCAAACCCTTAGCCCAAGGAATAAACGGAAAACCCTATAGCCGCGGAGAGCAAGTAGAAGAGGGCATTGGAACAAAGGATTTGGTCGATCTTTTGCCTCTGGAGCCTGGGGTTTCCTTTATGAAAGGGAACATAGGGAACATAGCTATTAGGCCAGTCTTAGGTTGTGTTTGGTTGCCCTTCCTAAATTTTAGTCGTTGTCTCATTGAATGTTTGGACATATATATGGAGTATTAAATATAGACTAATTACTAAACAAATTACATGGTCTTACGACTAATTTGCGAGACGAATCTTTTAAGCCTAATTAGTTCATGATTTGACAATGTGGTGCTACAGTAAACATGCGATAATGACGGATTAATTAGGCTTAAAAAATTTATCTCGTAGAGTACTGACGGATTATGTAATTTATTTTTTTATTAGTATCCGAACACCCCATGCAATATCCTCCCGACACACCTCCTAAATTTTAGTCATTGGATCCAAACACCACCTTTAGAGATTTTACGAGAGTTTTATAGATAATTAATAAGTTGTGTGGCATAGTATTAATAAGGAGAGATACGATGAAAGCTGAAATAAAATAGTTTTATGGGGTTTCGAATGAAAATTGTCTACACTCTTTCCAACTCATAAGACTCTTAGAAACAGTGACACAAAACCCCCCACAGACTGGCCTTAACTATTCATGTAACTAGATGAACTCATGGGGGCTCCAATGTTTGACGTTCCATGGTGAATAGGAGTCAAATCACCTTCTCTAGTGGTTTTCGCAAAGTGTTATTGGAGCTCGCAGAGGTAGTCATTGCCTCCTCTGACAAAAGCTTGAAGATGCCATTGGAATACCTATTATGGCAAAATTTGTTAACTCGTCAGGCGTTCTCCAGAGATATGAGGCTAAATAAATAAAGCATCTAAAAAAAGAGAAAGTTGTTTTCTGATAGAGAGTGTAGGCCTGCTTTATTAAATGAATGACCTCACGTATTCCTTGCCTATGTGGTATGTAGATTTTAGTTGAAGCATATGACAATATCAACCCGCGTTGACCGTGCTCTAATAAATCTTCTTAAAAAGGTTATTAGGAGCAAAAATATATCTAGATGAGTTAGCCGTGAGACGAAATCTAACAAATACCTTGACACCCACCAAGATATATTTCCACGTCAGATATGGAGTTTGCATGCTAAAATTTAAAACAGGCTCTGTTTTTTGACCCATATAAATAAAAAGAAAAACACTTCACCCAAATAACTTGGTCCTCTTTTGGTGGTACTCCAGCTTCAAAAATATTGTGGATTTCTTGGAGCTGGTATTAGGTTGAGAGCATTTAGTTGAATTGTTTTTGTTTTTATTTAGTTTAGACTAAATATAAATATCTAAACTACTTTAATTTACTCTATAAGTTAAGATCTAACCTAGATCTAGGAGCTAGAATTATGCTAAACAAGCCCTTAAATGTACCCATAGCTCTGATTTTGTATATTTTACTTTTGGTTGAACTTTGCTAGATGTACAGATGCACCCACGTCGCTGTTATCATATACTCCTCCATACTCAAAAATAAAATTGTCGGTGCAGAAAGTGACCAACAAGTAAATATTTGTAGTTTTACCGTACGTTATGATCGGAGTGGCCTAGCACTCAATGACACATGGTTTATACTGGTTCAGGCAACGTGCTCTACGTCCAATTTGAGTCGGTCGGTGACTTTATTCCTGAGCCCAGGTGCTCGAAGTTCGCAGCGGGGTTACAAACGAGAAGGAGAAAGATGGGGTGCACAAGAGGTCCGGTCGGCTCTGGTCGGAAAGGCTGAGAGCGACAGGAGCTCCTCTATGAGCTAAGTGTTCAAGCGTGTGCTTGATGTCCGAACCTGACGATTCTGTGGTTGTGAGCTAGTGAACTTGATCGATCTGGATTAACTTGTATGAACTTGAATCAACTGAGTCTCTTGGGAGAGAGCGCATCCCCTTTTATAGATGAAGGGGATGGCCTTACAAGTGAGGGGGAGAGAGTACGTATGCTTCTAAGTCTTGTTGCCCACGCCGGTGGGTACAGGATGATGGTAGGCGCCCACAACACTATTGGATGTCAGATGCACGTGGGAGGTTACGTCATCTTTGTTTGGGTATGGCAGATGTTGGCACCTGCATATACTGTTGATGCCCAGAGACATGTGAGGAGTTTCACCATGTTAACTCGGTATGGTGAATCCCGGCGCCCACAACACTATCGATGCCCAGAGGCATGTGGGGGGCCTTACCGTATGGGAGTTAACGGCGCCCACAATACTGTAGAGGAAAATGTCGGCGCCTACAATACTATTTGTGTCAGGATGGTTGCAGAGTACTATTTCTGCAGTGTGTACAGGGTACGGTCCCTGGTATCATGGTTTGAGTTGAGTGTCTTGCCTTGCTTTCTCCGTTCGTTCCCTGATCCTTTCTGGACGGGCGTCCCCGGTCGATTGGTCCCACTCGGCTCTGGTTGCGCTAGTCGGAGAAGAGCGGTAAGAAGGGCTTCTGCGTACCCCGGTCGGAGACACGGGGTCGGAGTCGAAAGTAGTGCTCTAGCCAGGCCTTTCGGTCGGAGAGGCTGTCCGGAGGCGGCTGGAGTCGGAGCAAGCGCTCCAGTCGGAGAGGTGGGCCAGAGTCGGAAAACGGGTGCCGCTCCTCCTCGGCCAAACCTTTCGGTCGGTGATTGGATCGCCCTTCTGGCCTGTTGTCCGGATACATGGGCCAGCCCATGAGTTGCTCGCTGTCTCCTCAGGCCAAGCCTTTGTTGGGAAACGGGTCCACGAGGGACCTCGGGTTTATGAACCCGACAGGAGCCCCCGGGCGATTCGGGCAGAATCGTCTGGGGGATTTTTGTCTTGACGACGGGTGCACGCGAGCGTACCTACGGGTGTAGCCCCCGAGCCCCCGGGCGGTTCGGTCAGAACCGTCTGGGGGTTTTTTCGTGTTGTCGGTAGGGGAGGTTTTTGTTTCGTCGGTAGGTGCACGCGAGCACACCCGCGGGTGTAGCCCCCGAGCCCCTAGGTGGTTCAGGCAGAACAGTCTGGGGGGTGTTTGTCAGTAGGCGTGTGTGCATATTTTTTAGTCGAGATAGAGTTGTTTAACCAAGGCGTCGTTGTGCAGCCGAGGTGGTTGGTTGTTTTTAAGGATCGGGTGAGACAGAGCTCGCGAATCCTGGCATCGGTGCGCGCCATGGGATCGGGCGAGTTTGGAGTCATGGATCCTGGCCTTGGTGCGGTCCACGCAACTGAGGCAGTTTAGTTAGTTAGCTTAGGGATCGGATGAGACGGAGCTCACTTATCCTGACGTCGGTGCGCGCCGTGGGATCGGGCGACTTAGAGTCGTGGATCCTGGTGGGGCGAGTTTAGGGTCGTAGACCTATGTGTTTTGGAGTGCGGTCGAAGCATAGCCGGTTGGGGCGAGTTCGGGGTCGTAGACCCAGGTCGTTTTGGAGTGCAGTCGAAGCGTAACCGGATGGGGCGAGATCGGGGTCGTAGACCTAGGTGTTTTGGAGTGCAGTCGAAGCGTAGCCGGATGAGGCAAGATTAGGGTTGCAGACCCAGGTAGTTTTGGAGCGCAATCGGAGCGTAGCCGGCTAGGGCGAGTTCGGGGTTGCAGACTCAGGTAGTTTTAGAGTGCAGTCGGAGCGTAGCTGGATGGGGCGAGTTTGGGGTCACAGACCCAGGCATTTTGTGTCTTGAGGCCCCGAGCCCTGTTGGGCCTTAGTAGGGGTCGGTGTGAGTTGTGTGCGTTACCCTATCCTCGGTTCCTCACAACCGGAGGGGCTGACTTTTGTCACTTGTCCCGATCGCGCGGGCTCGAGTGACGCGCTCGGTGAGTTCGCTAACGGGTATGATCGAGTGGAATCCGGGTCTGTCATTCATGACGGGGTCGGCATAGCCCTCTTGTGACATTCCACTGCTCCTTTACCTGCAACCGGGCAGATGCCTGGGTCGTTCTGGAGACCGACCCGGGTGGCCTAATGGCCTCCCCTCGATGGAGATTCTATAGGCTTGGTAAGAGGTTTAGGATCAAACAAGAAGGTTGAGATGACCCTGTCTACCAGACTGGGCGAGGGCTGCATGGGGCTCATCTGCGTTTTTCTCCCCTGGCTCTGTTGTTGCTCTTTTCAAATGAGGCAACTGCCGCTTCGTGACGCAACACAGAGCGTTGTGATGCATTTCGCTGCACGTGCGATTCTTAGTTCTCAAGCCCCCAGGTGGTTCAGGGCTTGAATCATCTGGGAGGCATGGGCGTATAGAATGAATGCGCGTATGGATGTATGAAATGATTATAAAGAAATAGAGGGGGTTGGTAGTATTTACCTTGATGACTTGAGTGACGGGGTTTGAAGAGCTTCAGTCAAAAACGCCCGATCGGGACCCGTGCTCGTCGTTCGTGATGGAGTTGGCATGGCCTACATGGGG